ATGAATAATTACGACTTTTTCAGATATATTTGCGTCGAGTCAATTATGCGTGGGAAAATTGATTAGCAGCGAAGAAAAGGAAGAGAAAGGACGTTAATCCAATTGACCCAATAGCAAAGTAAATCGATAAGAGGGAACGAAAATCAGATTTTCAAGTTTACAAGGAAAGAAAGCTGCGTGGGCGAGCAATGGGCTTCTGAACTTAAATCTCGTTACCCGACTTTTTGAATTCTCTTTAGTAGACGTCGATGATTAACCTTTCGTAGGTCAAACGTGCCTCCCAGTCAGTTGAAACTTCGATTGATATAACCCATATTTTCTCCACCCTTTACGACTCCAAACTTATTAAACACACCCACTTACGATTATTATGGAAATGAGAATTGCTGCAGATCGCGAGTGATCGACAATTGGGCAAACTTTTCGTTTTATATCAAATATACCTACAACGTTACAGGCTATTTTATAAATAGCCATTGATAAGCAGAGAAATTTACCCTTGGATTAAGAGAATTCAGGTTAAACGATGGTTATAATATTCTTCGGGGTGGTTAACAAGTACGTATCTGCCTGCAAGCAAACATTCCTACAAATATCGAAAATGGCATCTATTCCCCACAGTGAAATAAGTCAAAGCAGCAGAGGCGATCTATCGCGGGCAATAAACCAACGAGGATTAAGTCATCGCGGTTGAACTAACACAGAAATATACGAACCCTAAATCTACCTGTCCAAGTGTCCTTCACTTCGAGCATTACGACGTTGCCTCCTTCAATCAAACCATCCTTCCAGTCGACAGGTCTTCGAAGATGATCTCCCGAATTGTTACCCGAACTCCCCCTTAGATAGGAAAATATAATCGACTTGGCTCGACGAAATTATTTACAATGAAAAGAAGACAAAAAAAAAAGAAGAAAAGAAAAGCAACAAGGAAAAAGATAGAATTGCCGGATTATCGCACGGAAGAATCTTCTTCCAGAGATCAAAAAGATAGAAAAGATAATCGCCTTGGTTGGATAAGACTCAGGAAGGAGGGAAAAAAAAGAGAGAAGAAAAGGTAAGAGGTGAAACTCAAAAACAGCGGGGCAAGTGGCACGAAAGGTGGCGACCTGCCTAGACGGCGTGCATATGTCAGATTTATAGTAGCCATAAACGAACGTGGCCCGGCGGAACTTTCGTACTTGTATTTCCACGACGAAGTTCTCGTCCGCACGCGTGTACGTGGCGGACCGTATAGTTTGCCGTGGCGTCAAGGCATAAACCCAGAATATACGATCGCAGTCTGTACGGCGATGTTCCGACGTATGCTAATTTTCCACGGGAATTAAACTAGCATCGGGGTCGGCACTAAACAACGACGCCTTTTGAAGACTTCTGTGTAGGGTATGGTAAAGTCTAGTAATATTCCGCCAAATATATGATAGCGACATAGTGGGAAGTTTATATTTTTGTGAGATAATCTACGTATAGTTTCGTGGGTATTTTTTTTTATATCATCAGGAATGTTTTATATCTTCAAGTATTATGTAGCTTAGAGATTAGAGAAATTTCGCGTCCAAGTAAATTAATATTATTTATGAACGATAAACAGCGACTGCTTTTGAAGACTTTTCTTGACGATTCCTCTAGGTGTATATGTATAGCAAGGAATGATAATATTCTGTGAAGTATGCTAGTAATATAGTGGAAAGTTTGTATTCTCGAGATAAGGTGCATTTTCTCTTTTCTTGCTTTCTTAGGACGTTGGGCATTATTGTGGAAATTATGGTAGTATCGTAAATATGTTAATTGCGTTTGAATAATTTAAAGGATAAATGAAGATGGTATAATAATTATTTGCTATAATAATAGATGGTATGATAATTGTTTTCTTGCAACATTATCGTGCAAATTACGGTAGCCTGATAGGTAAATATGGTAAATATGCTAATTACGTTTAAACAATTTAATGATAGGTGGATGTTATAATAATTAGGTTAAATATACGTAACACACAAGTTTGATCAAGTATATCGCACGTCGTACTGTTAGAATGGACACGATAAGAACTGTGAAATTAAATAATTTAAATGTAACGTTGGCTGCAATATATTTGGAGTTTGTTACGTGTTTAAGTTGCAGAGTAATTTTGTGTAGTCGACAGGGAATCTCGAAACGTTTCCTTTGGTAGACAAAGTACGTAAATACCCTGGCATAGGGGTGTACGTAGTGCGTTTGACAGGAGTATAGTGGAACAAGTAAACTCGAAATCTGCGATGGGGGTGCACGCTCACAGCAGTCTATCGACGGTATTAAAATAAACGGTTAATTTTCGTTGGAATTAACTTTCTAGTTTATCAAACACCTTTGAAACGGAAATGGATGAACACGATGACGCAGAGTTCCCTTGAACTATCGACTACTTTTTGTACACTTTGGAATTTTTAATCACGATCTTGTTTCGTTCATACTGTGGGATAATTTTTTTTCTGTAGATCTTTTATAGACCGTAGAACTGCCAGAACACATCCTAAACTTTTTGTCCCGTTGTTCTCGTCTTTCTTTCCTTTGATCTTCGTTTTATTCATTTTTAAAACTATCGTGGTGTTCTTCAAGTTCTTCTCCCTTTTCTTTTCTTCTTCGTTTTCGTCGTTTATCTTCCTCGCCTTTGGAACCTACATTTTTTCTCGTCTTCTTCTCGTTACCTTGTTTTTATTTCAAAATCCCAACTGTGCCTCTTTTTTCGAATCTCAGATTTTACCTAGTTTTTCCAACTTCTTCTACCTCGTTACTTTTCTTGCTTTTCGAAAGACGTAGTCCCTGTTCCTCGAACCAAACTCTTCATCTTCTTACTTTCTAAGTTTTTACTATCACACTCGTTCTTCCTAACTTTTATACTTAAATCTCAACGTATCTTTGCAATGACTTTATTTCGATTATTACGACACTTATCTTTTTATATTTTCGAATCGTTCGAACGCTAGCTACCTGATCGCTTTCAACGACCTCGATGAATATTCCAACTAAAATTACTAAAACTATCCTAATCGCCAAGAATACCTTTCAACGTTATACTTGCCGCACGAACGTTACGATTATTAACACCTTACTAACATCTATGAATATCAAAGAATTATTCAAGAACGCGGTAAATTGCCCAGAAAATTTAGCTTTCTCGTTGCCCTCGAATTTTCCTTCGAAGTGCACATCGATTCCTCGCAATTTTACGCAAAATTTCAAAGGCTAAGGCCATCGTTGACCGGTTCGCCGATGAGGTTCATTGAAAGTAGTGAACCGAAAGGACAGTTAACGAGCTGATGCAGTTTAATGGGCGAGGGTTACATCGAGATCCCATAATCCCAAACGTAATCCCGCTCTACGTCGCTCGCGTTTGGAGAATGCTGACCTTTGAGCACCTAAATATCGGCTAAACCGTATTATCCACGCGGCCACAAATTGCATCTTTTCTTATAGATGCTCCACTGTCCATTAACCTTCGACCGCTACGACAGCCAACGTTCCCCGAAAACATTAAAATACGATAATAATAACGCTTTGTTTTCGAGTTATGCCGGTACACAGGAATTTTCTATACTCCGTGAAATCGATTTTACCGAATGCAGATCGAAGAGGTTGGTCTGGTGGAAAATTGAATTCAACCCGGTAAACAACGACCGGTCGAAGGATACAATGGGAAGGGGCGAAGTGGGGAGTCAGTGGAGCGAGGAAACGAAAACGAGAAGAGGAAAAGTGGTGCGAAACAGGAGAAGGGAACGAATGCCAGGTTATCGAGAAGTTGGACAAGTGTAAAAGGCAAGAATTCGCCTTGGTTTCGATCGGCAACGAACTAAAGGCAACTCTCTCTCTCTCCTTTCGTTTATTCACTTTCCCCCCCGTTCTATTGGATTCCAATATTGGCCGCTGCTTATTCCACATTTATAATTTCCTCCCATCGTTAGGTAGTAGCGACGACGCGATGGCATCGGGTCGATGAAGAGCTTCCACGTGCCCTTTAACGACACTCCAATGAATATATTTCCACGAGCTGTGTAAGAATTCCCTTTACCGGTCACGGTTAAGTGAACGATCTTTTAATAGACCCGGGGAATTTTATAACGTTAACTTCGATGCATAAGTGCGTCGGGCAGGCTATTTATTGGATCGTCCGCCTTGAAGAGATTTCACGAGATCGTTATCTTTCGTCATTTCTCGATGTTCAACTTTTCTCGTGGTCTTTCTCCGATTGTAGAATCGATAGCGTGGGAAAAATATACAATAAAATAAGATCGCGCAATCGTCTAACGCGTAGAAGCGCCAAACGAACTTTCCAGAGAACGCGCCAAAAGTCTCTTCTGCGCCGTTTGTTTCCGGGCCAGACTGTCGTTTGTCGAAAGGCTTCGCTACCGCCAACTGCTGCACAGTCTCAATGCCAACGTTCGCACCGTAGGTCAGGGTATGCGTTTCGGCCACCACCAAATGGAATACACATTGCAACGTACTCGTATTTCTAACGATAGAAACATGAAGAAGTCCGACGATTTTGATTTTTTTCGATCATTGATGTATACTATTCATCATCATCATGGAACCAGCGCATCTGTTTAAGAAAGTCCGGATCTACTTAAAGGCGGACAAGTTAGCGCGACCAAGCGATCACGTCTGACCTACAACGACAGAATCTCCTGCCGGACAAGGATTGAGTTTCTGTCGATTTTGGGCGCGTATGTAATATTTCTTTGAATCATTGTTACTTCCCATATGTTAAATGATATGTTACCCATATAATGTGTATGAAACATGTATTCGAACGTACAATCGAATACGAAATTCTTGAAAGTTTCAATTTAAAAAAAGAGGAGGATCTTTAATCGTCGATATCCTTCCAATTTTGTATGTTGTTCTCAATATCGATTCTCGTAGAGAAAAAAAATAAATTCTAACGTAATACATGGATCACACTAGAGTTTCATAGTAAAGAGATATTAAACGAGAATATTTGTTCGTGAATGAACAACGCTCACCAATATTTGGATGCTGCAGCTTCCTGCATATTCGTGCCTCGCGTTCGAGCTTTTGAAAATCTGAAACAAGACAAAAAGAATAGCATAGTTATGAGTAAGGAAGACGAAAGAATAACGTGATTTACAAACAATCATTGACTCGTTTAAGAATAAAAAAGAAATAACAGATATCGCCACTGAGACATACTATAAAACTAAAGTTCGTAAAATTTACAAGTTTAGCGACTGTCTGACCATTGAACAACGTTCTGACGAATTCTACCCTATGGCTGGGCATTCCAGAACGGATACTAGCGAGCTTTATCGCAAGAGTTTCGCCGTAACGACAACCCATGCCGGGTATAGTCATTACCGCGAAATCGAATTTTCCAACGAGCTCCCTTGACGAGTTTCCTCGTGGGTAATTCACCAAGGACCGTAATAAAATTGGATTTGTCGGTGGCCAAGTCATTTCGAGCACGATTTCCTGTTTCCTTTCTGTTGTACGCGCACCTGAACGGCCCTCCTTCGCGGATCGACCCTCCATTCCATATCTATTATCGGTCTTGTCCTTCGTGCCTTACTTATTAAATACTATACGTTCTTTCTTCCACTGAACTTACCTTTTCCCTCGAATAAAATATTAAAATGAATTACCCTTCTTTACTCTACCTCTATATATTATTCTATTTGTTATTTCGGTATGTATGTAAGTCGGTCGCTTTTTACAGAATCTGTCTCGAAAAGAAACAAAACTAAAATTTAAACGAACAAATACGAAATACTCGAGTGGCCAAGTAGAAAGTATCAGATGATATGGTAATAAAATAACATGACGTGATATCTTCTGTAAAAGAAGACAAATCTTCTTTCATTTTTCCAATCTTCCGTAAAATAAGGTAGCCAACCAATCAAACGGCCGCAAGAATCTGCCATCCCTCGGAATAATTACCAAGTCGCCGAGGTAAGTGTCGGCTAAGGTAAAAATAGAATTTCAGAGAATTAGCGTTCTCGCTTAATAATTTAATACGCTTAAGAAAGCGTTTCGAAGCACCGTAAAGTAGCCGGATCCATTTATCCAGCGCGAAATTCCGTTGGCTTCGAACGTCGAGGAAAAAGAAATCGGACACCGGTTTCCATCCCTTTTGATCTTTTTCCTCTCGCTCTTTCGTTTCTCTCGCCTATAATTAAATCTGCGACGGTGACGAGACTCGGCAGTCTTCATTCGTATCCGCGCCTAAACAACCAGAATTAACGAGCATCTACCGACAAGCAAGAAGAGTCCACGAAGAACACTGCAGCTACAAGAGGAGAAGCAAATTGGAGGACAGAGCACTTGACGAAAAAAAAAACAAAAAAGGAAAAAGGGGAAAAAGAAGAGAAAACTGGGTTATTCGACGATGTCATTTGCCCACTCTATGAGCAGATTCGAACGTTGCAGCATTCTTCGCGTGAGGGGTAGAAAATTTTTCGCAAATTCCAGATAATTTAGTGGTTTTTGAACCGTGAAAATAAAATGATTATTTTAGGGATTAATTCTTTCAAAATCGAATATTTCATTAGACTGTGAGAAATGTTTTTTTTTTGTTAATTATTGATAATAGAAATACGATGTTTTTTTAATTCTTTTAGGGGTTGATTCTCTTGTAATTAAATACTTTGTCTATGCTTGGATAATTATTAGACAAGAATTAAATATTTTTGTTAATCGTTGATAACAGAAACACAACGTTTTCTTAATTCTTTTGTACAAAAGGTATAATTCGTTACAATTTATACGTATATGAAGGGATTAAGTAGTTTTGGTCTTAATTTGACATCGTTTGTCTGAAATCTTTTAGTTCCGCGTTCTTACCAAATTGTAGAAAGCTCGAGAATTAGCTTTTTCATTATTTTTCCAAAAATGAATAGGCGGAGTCACGTCGGTCTCGCGATGCTGCCGTTGGCCAAAATTAGACACAGCTGGGTGAACAGTTAACGAGCCACCCTTGTTTGCGCTAAACTCGTTACCGACTACACCGTACCGGAGGCTATCAGACCACATGTACGCGAATCACCGGAAAGAACGGCCGTTCAAAGAAGAGAATTCGCCTTTCTTCCGCTGAAAACAAGGTTTTCCGGCTGGGCTTTCGTCCTATGAACCAAGGTCCAAGTATCACGCGTCGATTACTCGCAAATGAAATAAAGACTTCTTTATAGAAATGTAAGGAAGATAAAAATTCTTCTTTTCTCAAACAAACAAACAAAAGCATCTTCCTCGTATCATTGAAGGAGTATCGGAATATTCGTTATATTCAGAAGTAACAGAAATTCACTAGAAACCTGAGAAATCAATGGATTTATCGAGGAGACGAATAAACACGTGAGTGAAGAATATTTATTTCAGAAGATTAGAAAAATTCTTAAACACAGTGTATGTCAATAAGGAAGAGAAAACAAGTCGAAATGTACGTATAATAAATATTTGTTATTTTACTATATAATGATAACTATATAATAGCCAAAAAGCAAACATTACGCGAAACTATATTTTCCTTTTGTGATTGTAACATTCATTACCGTAAGAATATCATTATCAGGCTAATGAACAATTCACAGTTTCCTCGTGTATGAAATTTATACAAAGAAAAACTGTACTTAATAATATATGTAATTTGTCGTATCGAACGGTATCTTGAGAACTCGCATCGTCCAAGTTCACGCGGAAAAATGCAGAGGCTGGTGTGCGCGCTTCATCCCCTCTGTGTCGAAGATAGTATCGAAACGTAAAATGCACGTTTATTCACGAACGACACGCGTTCTTATCACGCCCGAGAGATCAAGGGCTGCTGCGTCCACTCCCTTCGTCCCTTCGGAACCCCCTCTGCCGCCCTTGTTCACCTGCTGACTCATCTTCATCCCTCGAAGCAAGGTATCGAGGGTGAAAGAGTTTTTGCTGACTTTCGTGACATTCGTGCTTCATCGGACGCAAAGTAACCAGCGAGGATCGGCCTTGCAACGATCTCACAAGTCCTCTCAAAGCCAATCCACGATTTCTACACGTGGATCGCACACGCAAACAACCAAGATCCTATGTGTCGTCTTATTTTTATCCTTCGACCGTGATATCGATTTTTCCTCGAAAATAGTCGAGAACAGCGACCAGACGACAGTGTATTTTCGTCGATCGGTATACAATAATACTGCAACAATAGGCTCATCGAAGTCCTTCAAGGAGGGGAAATCTTTCTACGATTCTTAGATCGCGTACAATACCCGGGAAGATAATTACGGAGACGTATCCTCGAATTCAAAACGAAACACGGGCCGAGATAATGGCGCGAAACTTCAGAACGTATCGCGTATGTAACAGTTAGCGCTCTTAACTGATAATTGGAACTGGTGCCTACACAGAAACTTAGAGACATTGAAGCTACGACAACGAAGATACAGTTCAAAGAGAATACCGTGTAACTGGGTCAAGTTCTCCGAGTGGACAAGAAGTTCCTTCCTATTTACCATTTGTTGACATTAAAATAGATACAAGTGACTTGGAGGGGGAAGAAAAAAGAGAAAAGACGAAAGCAAGCGCGATTTATGAATAGAACGGCACTTTCACGATCGTCGTCGGCCGTTGCACCGTAGAAACAACTTACAGCATGTTACGCGGCTGAAACGCGAAAGGAAATTACTTTGGAAATTACTTGCGACAACTACTCTTTGTTGCTAAGCAGAGAAAAGAGAAATTAACAGGGTTGGAAAGAGGTTGAGACGCGCCAAAGTTGCCTGCTTCGCCTTTGAATTGCCCGTTGCGCGAATTAGAATTTCAAACGGCACAAACTGCTAACGAAACTACGGACAGAGAGTGCTCGATTAATTATTCGGTGAAGTGGAAGCAACCGAAGGATCTTGCGAGCCAACTAAACCGACAAGTCGAAATCCAAGCGATCAATTTTACAAACAGGATGGCGACTAGCGCCAATTTGCTTGCAGAGTAACTTGGTAAATTCTTAAAAAGTTATAGAGCCATGTATGATTTTATTCACCACATTGTCTATTATTTTACAATTTTATTTCGAAACAGAAAAATATTTTTGTTCGATTTCCGCGAAGATCGAGTCGATATTTTGAATATCTTATCGATAAGGAATACCAGCCCTTGGGTCTCGATAAATACGAACATGTATTAGAGTTAGATAAGTTAAAAAGAAACTGCAGATGAGATGATTTCCATTGTTGTTTAAACAGCAAATTGTTTTTCTTTCCGCGAGATTGTAGCTGCAAGCGTAGCGCTCGTATATGAAAATACCTCGGGCTCGTAAATATGAATATGTAAAGGACATGTTTGTAAAACATGAAACTGAGCGTAAAACACCGAGTTCTGTTTAAAATATGACCGGCATTACGTTGGATGGAAGCTTGACGCTTGTTACGTTCTTCGCTCTTGATCCGCGATAATGTAAACCGTTTGCCTCACCAACAGCTCATTCTTCGATGATAATTACAAAATTTAAATGTAACAAACTTTTTTTGAATTTGTAGTACGAGAATATATGAAACTGTAAAATCGTACTTTGAAACATGACGAACGCGAAACTCGGAGAATGAAAATTTCGAATTTCTAAACTCCTCCCTTCGTTATCCTACACTGTAGAAATAAGAACAAGAGCGACATCCATGAAATTCAATTTTCAACAAATTCCTGTTTTTCCGCCAACTACCTTACAATCAACATGGAAGAACTTGGATTCATCTCGAAACAGAATTGGGAAGTTCGTAGGAAAATTCTGTCGTCCGAGACGATCTCCGACATCGTTCGTTCTTAAAACAGAAATAACATTATGATCAGAATGTCAAATTTTCACAGAAATTCCTTGTTTTCGCAAGCTTCCTTAAGATCAACGTGGAGATTCAAATGTACAGTATAACAGGATTCAAAAGTCCACGCTTTCGTTGCGAAGTAATGGATACCAAATTCACGGAATAAAAATATTGGCTAACCTCGTTTGTTAAAATAAAGCCTTATCTTAAGTAATGAAGATCATAAAATCGGATTTCCAACGAAATATCGCGCAAGTACTTCCTCAAAATTAACGCAGAAA